CCCTGTCACAGGTCGAAGTGACTGTACCTACCACATCCACTTTTTTATTTACTTTTGTTGTTAACATACATCTAGGGTTTGAATTAATTTTTTTCCAAGGGTAAATAAGCCACTTATCAGCATTGAAATTGAAACTGCAATTGTAAGTAACAACAGGGCGGTGCCTTGCGTGGGTCTAGGGTCCCGTTTGCACTTGCTCTTTTGGGGATCAGCAATTGTTTTTTAATCATTTTTGGAACTACAATTAATTACTTTTATTTCTTTGATTATATTTCTTCTTGTAAATACTATCATGATTACATTCTTGCCCCAATAAAGTGTTAAAAAATATAGTAATATTAATCTGACTCACGCAGATACCCATCACTCATTAGACTTTATACACGGGCTCACACAGATGCCCACTGACTTATAATCGGGCTAACGCAGATATCCACTCACTTGTTATTCACTTGATAATCGGCCCACAAAGATACCCATAAATAACTTGATAATTGGGCTCACAAGGATGCCCAGATTGTTTATATAGTAGCGGCACAAAAGAAAGAAAAACGAAGAAAGAAAGTCTTTTTCTTTTGTATCTTTCTAGAATGGCTCTACAACGGGCTTTTCAGCAAAGAAATCGCCGTAGGGCTTGGGCTTGGCTAACTAAGTCATGTCCGTTTTATCCAGCCGGCTGTTCGTTCAAGATTGGAACCACTGCACGTTCACATCGTACACATCCTTTTCAGTTGACGTTCATTTCCTACTGGTCAAGAGTGTTCACAAGCGTTGTGTAGACCATACTTAGCGGCAAACTTCGGCTTCTTTGAACTACGAACGTTTCCATGGTCACCAAGTTGAGCTGATGTAGGTGCATTTTACCTCTTCACTCTCAAAATAGGCTCCAAGTACACTTATATTATTCTGGAAAGCTCGAGTGCGAAGCCACCAGTTAACTTGTTTTGCTGCAAAAGGCGCGATTTATTGTGTCACCATAACAACGGTGATCTTTTCACATTTGAAGATATCATGCTATTTTCACATGTGCAGATATTATGTCTTCGCGCGAAAGCTCGCCTAATATTTCATTGGTGTTTATGTAATAAATTGTTAATTTGATTACACACGCATTTAATTAAAAGTTGAAAATATACAAAGCAATGAACTGGGACCGATTGTTAGAATTGAATGTTGTAGATAATACGAATCTAATCCTAATGAAAAGGGACGAATCTGAAATTATAAATAAAGTCCTCAGATGATTAATGATTAACGTTGTGGTGAAATGCTTGGCCAACTAATTTAAAATCAAAGTTATATTTTTTTAACTATTGTATTAAAATTCGTTACCTTTCGATTCTGAAGTTATAAAATCTTTCCTTTTGTTGTCGGTTTTTTTGAGATCACTGCTACATTCAACAACGTGACCACGCTTAAAATCTACAATTATAACTCTTATAGTCAAATAGGACGCGCGGTAAAAGGTTCAGTGCTGGCTCTATTATAAAGCCGCCAACATAATTTGCAAGCAAAGCCAGAGTATAATTTAATTTCATACGAGCTCAGTTTGGGCAGAGAGACAACAACGGCCATAAGGTCGTGATTTCGATTTGATTTCGATTCTCATGTGGCTCCGGAGTTGCTTGAATGAAGTCATTATTTAAAACAGCTCTTTAAAAAAAAGCTCTGCAATTCTTATCTGTTTTAGACGCTTCCAGCTAACATGAGGGAAAAAAATTGCAACACTATTGTAAAGTATTCATTCCTATTCCTTCTATCATCGAATAGCCATTCACGACTCTTCGTCGGTTTCCACTTCTAGACTGAATAAGTCTTTCTAATGAATACGTAACTTTTTATGCAGTCATAAAAGCTCTAACTTCTTGTATAGTTATGAGACAAAACATAATGATAGTTTAAGAGAATGAAAAAATTGTAACCTTAAAGAACTTACTTTTAACCTTACCTGGGACTTTCTATTGCCACTGGGGTTTTGTGGGGTCCCCATTCCACGATTGCATCGTCTTTTAGAAAAGGGAGTATCGCTCACTATTTAAAAATTTCTTTAAAGAGAAAATTTAATTATATCTTTGCATGTTTTTATTTTTCTTCCTTTAAGCTAGAAAAGGTGACAAGCTAAACAAAGACGATGTATTTATGGGCGCGCGATTTGCAATAAAAGGCGATGTGGATTTACCGCACAAAAGTTATTTTCCTTTGCGGTACATGTGCTGTATCATCTTTCAGTCTTTCATATCGAGGCTTATGGATTGGTCCTGCCGTTCATTTTAAGATGCCTTTTCTATCAGCAATGGTCAGTTTCTGTACATAAGCTCGTCACTTTGTACTAAGTCGGCCATGCTGATGACTTTTTTGGTATTCTCTGTGCAAGTTTACGATTGTTTTTTTGCTTGGTTGGGACGTTGTGTTTCAGTTGGATTATAGGTATTTCGATACTCACCTCTTATCCAATCAAAATAGTTCAACTTGTGAAAAGTTCATTCATCTCAAGAATAGGTTTTTCCATTAAGCAACAGACTGACATCACGGTGCAAATCTAGACACCTCCTAATTTCAATCACTGCAGATTCACGCCTGATGTCGTTTACGCGTTGTGTAATATTCAAAGTTTATATAAGATGGATTTCTTACGCAGACAGCAGCTGTCTAGAAAGCTATGTTGTCAGAACTTTACGATTACAGATAAGTTGAGTTGGTTTTTCCATATAAGGTAATTATATCTAATCGACAGCGGTCATTAATCAGTTGACAATTTGAAAATAATATCAACAACTTTTAATCCAAAATCTTAAGGCCATTTTTTTTGCGTCGTATTTTCTCGAGCAAATTTGAGGTGAAAAAAGAGGATTGAATATTCTGATAACATATGTCTTTAACAGATACACGCGCACAGTTTTAACAGAGGCATGAAGAAACAGAGTCACTGACTGCATTGAAAGTGGAGGATTACAAACAGAAAGAGATCAAGGAAGTCTGGGTACTAAAAGAGACCACTTGCAACATTGCTTAGGGCTCACTAACATTATTCAGATTTGTTTGCGAGAAATGACGGACCAGAGTATCGTACTCTACAGCGGTTTTGTCTTCTGCTAGTTTTAAGACTCCAATTTCCTTATCTCGTCGAACGCCACAGTTTGTTCCGAGTGTGTTGGGGAAGGCGGTTTTATGCAAAGAAAGCTCGACTAGATCCACCCCATTTCTTAATCAAAAACACTGTCAAACTAATTTAGGAGGGAATGGCATGTTGACAGGGAATCTGGAGGCGAGAGATTGTCTGAATCAAGGGCCACAACTTATGACAAGTTAGTAAGTAACTATGTTGTGGGTGTCTCGGGTAGCCCAACTGAGCGAGCTCTCTCAAACTGCTAAATAGCTTTCGTGTTGGATAAACACTGGCTTAACTTGGCTTTTATGATATCTGTGAGATGTCTGATAGATGGCCCGGGTATAGATTTAGTTTAATAAACAGGTTCACGTGATCTCTCATGGCTACTAGGATGGTAATGAAGTGTCCTTAGCTATCTTTAGCGTGGTATAGATACAGCTGTATGGTAACTTCCGTTAATAGTGATCATTACAATGTCTGGCTCTTCAAAGTCCATTAGGTCTCAGAATGGGTGAGGTCGTCAGTACACGGAGGACCACGGCAAGCTGGCGCCAAAGTGAATAAGTCCTTTACAGGGTGGAGGCCGGTACTATGCTCACATTTTGCTGAGAGAGGATGCTTCATGTGGCGCCTCACCCAAATGGTGAAACTTTCTGAATTCTATGACCCAACTACTCAAAAGAAATGAGTGTCTCCGTCTTGTTCTAAGACGGAGACACTCGACGGACTAAACGACGGACAGTTCCGTTGAGTTGTTTTGAGATGACTGCAAATGCAAAGAGTGGTAGCTGTCGAAGGCGCCACGCCAGTCAAAATCAGTAACACTCAAATTCAAGTTAACAGCAACACAACAGTTTAGTTCCAGAGGAGCTTGTGAATCAATAAGACAAAGAAACCAACTTGTAACAAGATCATGGATTACACAAAAACATACCACAAAGCGCAGGAAGTGCAGCAGGTGCTTGCGGCTCACTAATTGTAAACAGCGAAACCAAGCATAACAATCGACGCCTTGAAAAACACTTTTCTTTTATAACTCAGCAAGATTATAACCAACCAACAATATCTTTGCCTTGTTAATAATAAACGTTGTGCGCGTTAGGAACAAGCAAGGGACAGTCATCTTTAAGTGTACTCTTTTTGATTATTTCTTAGTTTCTAATCAGTTTTTTCCTCCTGCGGGTAAGGAAGATAAAGCAGTATTTGACATGATTCCTAGTGTTTGGTTTCAGTCTCTTCCAAATTATTTCTGAATATTTCATTTCTTTTTTACATTTCCAACTTTTTATTGCCTTGGTTTAGTTTAGTTTTCGTCGCTCGACTCGTTTCATTCGCAAACGCTATAGTCACATCTGTTTAAACAAGAATCAATTAAAAATATTTTCTGTTTGTATAGTTTCAAAGTAACTGAAATTAATTTGTTTCTAGTGTTATCTCACTTTTGTTTTTAGGATTAGCTTCCACAAAGTTATTAAAGGTAATACAACAGTACATATTGTAACATATCCCTTTACGGATTAGCATTTATTCTTTTGAATTCGTATCACCAATACTTGGCTATGACATCGAAATATCGAACATGCCTTATTATGCGTTCAAAGTTTTTTAAATTCGTTTAGTTCAATACACCCGTTAGATAGGACCTTATTAAAACCAATACAAAATCTTATTTTCCTTTATTTACCTTCATTGTTCCATTTGAGGTGAAATGAAATTAATGAGGATAAAAGGACGAATTCAACAGGACTCATCATGATCCTTACATTAAGCAGCAGGAATTGTGCGCATGTAAGTGGGGCAAGCAGATTGGATTGAGATACAAATCCAGAGGAGAGACATTCAATTTAGTATCCCAGACAGCTAGGGTTTACAGCAATTTAAACTTGCCCGTCACAACTGGCGCAACACAATAATTGGTAGGAGTTCGAAGGAGGTTTATATCTTTATTTTTGTACTAAACATTATCTTTTCAATCATGGCAATCTTTGGAAACATTCTAATAATCGATGCTCTGCGGAGATGTTACTCCTTACATTCACCGTCAAAAGCGTTGCTTTTTAGCCTGGCATTTTCTGATCTCTGTGTTGGTTGTTTAGTTGCCTTGAAAAGTAACTACCACCTTTACTGTATCGCTGGTATTGGGTCTAATTTTGTTGGAAGCACAGTTGTGGTCGCTTCATTCCTTACGACTACAGCCATAGCAGTGGAACGCTATCTCGCGCTGCACTTACGTTTTCGTTACCGTGAAGTTGTTAAACTTAACCGCGTTGTTAGAGTTTTATTTGCATGTTGGTTAGCATCGCTAATCTGGTCATCGCTTTGGTTCCTGAACAGAGGAGTTCAAGACATTTTAAGGAGAGTCCTGTTTTGTGTCTGCTTGTTGACGACAACATCATCCTACCTCGTGATCTACAAACACATACGAAGAAGGCAGTTTTGTGTTTCTCAGCGCATAGGCAGAGCTTTTCTCCCAGCCACAGGATCATTTAATCCCATTCGCTTTCGAAGATCTGTCTCAAGCATGTTTTATATATACTGTTTTCTCTTAGTCTGCTATCTTCCGTATACTTGCATTATAGTTTTCGTCAATAGATATCAATTGACTCCTTTGACCTTAACTCTTAACAGTGCTTTTTGTTCCCTCCTTTGTTTCAATTCTGCTCTCAATCCGTTCGTTTTCTGCCGACGCATACAAGAAATTCGGGCAACAGTTCGACGGACACTACCACCCCTTTTAGCCTGGTGAATTATTTTGATGCTCCATTCACTTAAAAACTAAAACGTTTTACACCATACTAATGTCACTGTTCGTTCTGGTACTTTTTTTTATTAGAATGCCAATGTTAGACCCTACAGAGAAAGTTTCTGACATGAAATTTCTTTGGGGCAGTGTATGTTGCTGCGGTCGACGGTGGCTCTTTTGTCCGCTCTATTTGTTGACGGAACCTGACAGCTTGATGAAGAAGAAGTACCATTTATTGATTCCGCTTTACAATGATTTTGAAAGCAAAATGGAATTTTGATCAAGCATGACCATCATTTTCTACTTAAACTATCTTCAATTGACTTTGCTGGATATATAAACCCCAGTCTAACAAAGGACACTTTCTTGCATAACAAATTAAAGTGAAGTGTCTTAACAGTTTTTCACCAGTCTCTGTGGTTTTAATGATGTGATTTCGTTTTCCGTGAATTTCATTGGCTTAAAAGCTGTGTCCCTTTCCTTTATCTGAAGTATGAATCTAACAGTTTTTGAAAGCACGTTATCTTTGTAAAGCTTTTATCGCCAATGGTAAAAAATGCATCAAACAAAAGGTTCGCCAACAAACAAGCAACTTTTACTGATCATATAACATGTCTCTATGTCTTTTTCTGTCGAAAGCGATCAAACGTATTTTAAAAATTTGCAGACTCTTATGTTGAGTTTTTATTTATTTATTTATTTCTCTAGTTTTCTTTGTCGTGCACCGTACGAAAACGTTGTTTCATTTTCATCTTAAAATCCAGCTCACGATTTGCTTAAAGAGGAACAATAAATCTCATCAAGCAGCCATTTTTTAACAGGAATAAACCTTACGGCATTTGTTTAAGGCTCAAATTAAAACTAAATTACGTAAAAGGAATATCCTTAGTAGCAGATAAACACTTAAAGATTACCTGGTGATCCAGTCTCTAGTCACTTTTTCCAAACAAAGAAAATCCTTAATCTGTTCTTTAAAAACGAAGTGAAAGAGCACTTTTACTTTGCAGAATAACGCCTCAATCACACGTAAGTCTGGAAGTCACTTTTCACATGTACATGTATTAAAAGAAACAGAAAAATGTTCGTCCGCACAAATGTTTGTGTGCCGTTTTGCCCCTAACCAATACCGTTTTTCGCCTTTCCCTCTGACACAAACTAAGATTACCACAAAACGGTATCATCGTCTTTTAACTGAGTCTCTGTTTATGATCCACTGAGACACAAATGCATCGAATCTTTCCACTTTTACCCATTTTCGGGTTTGCTTTCATTCTACACTTGTGTTACATTACATATATAACTAAGATTAGTTATCTGGGAGCTTTTCCGAACCTCTAGTCTGCGCAGAAGCGAGTTACTAATTCAAAGTCTTTTTATCCGCCAGCTTTGTGACATTTCCATGCATAGTTTGTAACTTAGCTTGGTAAACGGTGTCTACACAAGAATCGCAACTGCATTCAGTTATAATAAAATATTTAAACAATTTCCCTCCTCCATTTAGGCACTGCATTGGCACGGTCGCTAAGGTAAAATTCTGGGGCTTGCAACAGGAACAGTGAATCTGGACGAATGGTGAACTTATGTTTGCTATCGCTATTGAGTTGCAAAAACCCTGACATGAAGTCTGTTGAATTGGCTGAGTACTAAAACAACCAGCCTCATCAGTTATACTACTAATGTTTTTTGTATGAACGTCACAAAGCCCGAGTTTAACTCCGGCCTTCGGGGAGGCA